ACTTATAACCTTGTTGTGTGTGCGCATGTGGGGGGGAAACACTGAATAGGACTGGCTGGTCTCCAGAGTGGCTTGGCACAACTTTAAACTGTCAAGCTATCGCGGGTTCTATAAAGACTGTCAGTGCAAGTTGGCTGCTTGACCAAGCCTTGCAACTCCCCTTTTTATTCCTGGTGGTGGGCATGAGTAAAGCCCCACTTGACTGTGTACTGGGATGTAGTAACTCCTCTTTTTACCTAGGACCGTGTCTACTGGATTGATGGGGAGAATGAGGCAGTCTATGGTGCCAACAAATTTACTGGATCTGAATGGGTAACACTAGTGAACAACCTCGATGATGCACAGGATATCATTGTTTATCATGAGCTTGTTCAGCCTTCAGGTAATGGCTATAGCAAGCATTTTGGCTAGTCCAAATGTCCAGCTGAGGCACTTAAGGGCAGGCATTGGAAAAGTACTGAACCATCACCCTCTTTTTTTTTTTCCCCCCCCCATCTCCCATGCCCCTGACAAACAGTGGCTGTCTCAGTTTGGGAGAAGTGTACTTCATTTTTTTTTTTTCAAATGAGGGGAAAGAACCATAACTGTCTAGAGTCAACTTGCTGCCTGAAGTTCCTAAAATGAATAGGAACAGGGTACTAGATTTTTATAGTGCTCTTGCCAAAATTAATATTCCATGGCCTAAGATTTGCCAAATGGTGAGGTTCTAGGTAACAAAGTATCACTTAATAATACTATCCCATCATCCACTTAAACTGCAACTCTCTTTTTGCCAACAGGCAAGAACTGGTGCCATGAGGATGTAGTAAATGGAGGCTGTGAGTACATGTGCCTGCCTGCTCCCCAGATAAATGAACACTCTCCAAAGTACACCTGCACATGTCCTACTGGATACAACTTGCAAGAGGATGGCCTGAAATGTTCAGGTATGGCAGAACTGCTGGAAGGCTTTCCTTGAGGGGATTTAAAGGGCTCTTGTCTTGTCAAAGACTATACAGCAAACATGTTAACCTATAAAACTGCTCTGGCCTACTCCCATTTCAGAATCCCCACTCTGACTTAATGTGGAAACCCTCAAGTATGCAACATCTCTACCAAAACTCATGCTTTTGCTTCTGCATATTCATCACTAATATAACTTTTACTGTGCTCCTTTCACCTAGGAAAAGTAACAAGCTGCCATAGGATCTGTGGCTAGATGGCTTCCATAGTTGCAATGCATGACTTGTTAATACATAACACAAGTATGAAATGCATACTGGGTTTGTCTCTGGTCCAGGATAGCACTTCTAATCTGTCTTACTCTTGGGCTTTCCTTCCTAAATCGGTGCACTTCTGCTTTAAAGTTGGCAGCAGGCAGGTGCTGGTCCTGCTGAATAGATTCAAACTGTCACAACTTTCCCTGCCCAGGTGAATTCATACAGACTATAATGGGTTGCAAACTGCAAGTGTAGAACACATGCAGCTACTACCCACCTGAACTTGTAACTCCTATATCCTTCTAAAAAGCCTGGAAACCCAGTGTCTTACAGGAATGACTGTTACAATAGCTAGTAACCCTTGCCTAAATCTGGCATCTCAATGTTGAGTCAAGCTTAATGGCACTAAATTCAGCTTGTCTAGAAAATCCTTAAATATGAACTACTTGGAACTAAAATGGCAAAGTGGGGAAAAAAAATTGCTCTATGTAACCATAGAAGCTTAAAGCCATAAGCTACCAATAGTCCCTTACCAAATATAAGGGCACCACAGCCCTTCAGTGGGTTGGAGAAGTAGACAAGGTTAGTCCTTCAACAAACTTAGTTTGCTAACAAAGCTGAAGCTAAATCACCTTCTAGCTCTTTTTTTCTGCTTTAAGGAAGTAAAAATGACTTCTTGCAGTCCATTCTTTCCAGTAAAACCTAACTTGCATGACTATCCTGTCATCTGCTAACCCAGCATGGCTTAATAGCCAGCTATTTCAGAACTTCAGGATTAACTGGGTTCTTTGATTTTTATAACCAGTTTCAGGTACTGGAACTACTGTGGTTTGCTTTG